GTCCATGCTGTTTCCGTAGTGGCTGCACCCATTTACATTCCCACCAACAGAGCACAAGAGTTCCCTTTTCTTCACATCTTCACCAACACTTGTTATCTCTTGTCATTTTGATGGTAGCCATCCTAACAGGTGTGAAGTGTTATCTCCTTGTGGTTTGACTTGAATAGAAATATCTATTCAGTTCCTCTGCTCATTTTATTTTTTAAATATATTTTTATTGATTTCAGAGAGGAAGGGAGAGGGAGTGAGAGATAGAAACATCAATGATGAAAGAGAATCATTGATTGCTGCCTCCTGCACGCCCCCTACTGGGGATGGAGCCCACAACTAGAGTATGTGTCCTTGTCTGGAATTGAACCCGAGTGCCTTCAGTCTGCAGGCCAATGCTCTGTCCACTGAGCCAAACCGGTCAGGGCAAAGGGCTGAATTTTTATGGTGCAAATTTTATTCTCAAGATCTGGGAACTGTTTCCAGAAAACCTGTGCCCCAAGAATTTCTGTACTATCTCCACTGCCAATTGGAGAAATTAGAGATTTAAAAAATGGAAGTTTTATAGAGTTCTACTTCATCATTAATAAATGCTTTGGGTTTATAGAGCTCTATTCTGATTACCTATGTAATAGCACTCTCTCTCTCTCTCATATATGAGAGAAGATTACATCATCTGTTAATAGAAAATGATATTCACAGGTCATATTCTCTTTAAGGTAAACAAAGCTACTTGTCAACTACCAAAGAACACTTTCATCATAAATGAACTCTCCACTATGTTGAACTTTATTGAAGTAAGAAGAAGAATGTCCTATAGAGATGACAACCTGGTAAGAGTAACATTTTCACTTCTGAGTGAAAATACCAAGAGGGCTCTGAATATTTCCATAATTTAAAGGGGGACACATTAATAGCTATGTAGGTATGTAGGTATCACGTTGACAAATCAACATTTGAAAATGTCCTTACTGGAATGCTGAATATGCTAAATTTGATGATCATTGAAAACTTAAACATCTTTCACTCACAAAACAAATGCATTTTCTTAGAAATTTCTTTTAAGTAATTTGGATTCTTAAAAACAGGTTCTAGAAAAATATAGAGGGAAATAATTTAAGGTGATGAAGTAAAGGAATGACATTTTTTCTCTTCTTTTAACTATGAAAACTGTTACCTGTTTGTTTCTTAGATAACTGCAGGAAACTTCAGTTCCATTATTTTCAGTGAATTTCCATTTATCTTTAATTTGCTATCCAAAATTAAATTATGGCAAGCTGATTCCTTTTTGAAAAAACTGGTATGTATGCCTTACATTTTTATTATGAAAAAATTTCAAACATATACAAAATAGAAATAATGGTGTAATGAATCCCATCACAAAGTTTTAGCAGTCATCAACATTTTGCTACACTTTTATTTATTACTGTTGTTGTTTTTGTAGTTGTTAGTATTTTTGCTGAATTATTTGGAAGCAAATCCCAGGCCCGCTTTCTTTTCACCTCTCCATACTTCAGGGCATTATTTCTGGTTGTTTCACTCTTATTTATGCTAACATTCATCAATGGGTTCAGCTGGTGACCACATGATATTTCCATTGTCATGTTTCCCATTAACCTTTTATTTAATTACTAGTAGCCCTGCGCACGAATCCATTAGTGAGTAGCTCACTGCCACTTGCCTCAGGGGCCACCCACCCACCGCCTCTGGTAGCTCTCTTCTGCTGGTAGCTCGCTGCTCCACCCTCCTGTAGCTCTCCCCACTCTTAGCTTGCTGCCCAGCCCTCCTGTAGCTCTCTGCCACGTATAGATCAGTCGTGACATTACAGCATCCTGGCTAATTTGCATAGTCCTCTATTATTATATTAGATTCCACCCATTGTTTTGGTTGAAGTTTGCAAAACAGCAACATTTCTAATATTATCATTTCTTCCAAAGTTAATGAACTACAAAGAACTTTTACTTTTTTTACCTTTTTACTTTTTCTGTAAAGAACTTTCCTCATCAATCAGAGCTATTTGGCTCCCCTGAAAAATCATCCATATAGGAAGGTAGACTAATGCTTAATCCTTTTCCATGCATAGCAGTTGTACCAATTTATGTTACCACCAGCAATGCATGAAACGCCTCTTTTACACTATAATCAATACAGTGTTACCAAGCTCTGTGATCTTTTCCAATTCTTTGGGTTAGCCATCATATTCCAATTTAATTTTTTTAAAATTATGTTTTTATTTGTTTCAGAGAGAGGAAGGGAGAGGGAGAGAGAGAGAGAAACATCAATGATGAGAGAGAATCATTGATTGGCTGCCTAATGCATGCCCCCCACTGGGGATCAAGCTTGCCACCAGGCATGTGCCCTGACCAGGAATCAACCTCTTGGTTCATGGGTCAATGCTCAACCACTGAGCAACACCAGCCAGCTCATTTTAATTTTAATTTACATTTCTCATCTATATATAGAAAAGCCTAAGTGACTGTTATGTCACTTAGACCAGAATGACTGGAACGACCGGTCAACCAGTCGCTATGACGCGCACTGACCACCAAGGGGCAGAAGCTCAACACAGGAGCTGCCCCCTGGTGGTCAGTGTGCTCCCACAGCCAACCTCCCACAGTCCCTCCCCCTGTTGCTTACCCTGGCTGGCAAGCCCCAATTGGCCTGGCCCTGATTGGCCCGGCCCCGATTGGGACTCGGTGAGATGGCCACAATCGGCCTGATCGCCAGCCAGACCTAGGGACCCCACCCATGCACGAATCCGTGCACCAGGCCTCTAGTGGCTGAGGCTTCACTTTCTTTAGCTAATATCCATTATTTTCCTACTATGAGCTATACTGAAATGATCAAATAAATTCTCTTTTTCTCTCCTCTATCCAGTTTTAGTGACTATACTAAGTTCTTAGTTGTTACTCTTTGGATTATCATATCTGTTTATGAGTCTTGGAGCTTGAGCCCTGGCCGGGTAGCTCAGTTGATTAGAGCATCATCACGATAGTCCAAGATTGTGGGTTTGTTCCCAGTCATGGCATATACAAGGAGCAGTCAGTGAATGAATAAGTGGAACAACAAATCAATGTTTCTCTCCCCCCCAGCCCCCCATCCTATCTCTCTAAAATCAATAAATAATGATTTCTTTAAAAAGTCTTGGAGCTTGATTTTTAAGCCCCAACTGATATTATTTTATTTCCAGTGAATTTATTCTGTTTTCCATTTATTCTCTTCCTTCCATTCTTTTTTCTGGTAGTTGTATTATTCCCACAAAACACTTACATGCTATTTTGTCTCTCTTGTCACCATCAGCCTTATACTCTCAGTTATACTCACCACATGCCCAGACATTTTGCTAAAGATTTTTCAAACATTTTTGATCATTGAAGTTTGTTTTCTAGGCCATTCCTCAGGAAAGGTTCGTATCTATTTTCTACGATGTTTATAGAAAGACTACAAGAGCCCTAGCCAGTTTGGCTCAGTGGATAGAGTGTCGGCCTGTGGACCAAAGGCTCCCAGGTTCGATTCTGGTCAAGGGCATGTATCTTGGTTGCAGGCTCCTCCCCAGCCCGGGAGGCAACCAATTGATGTGTTTCTCTCACATCAATGTTTCTCTCTGTCTTTTCCTCTCTCTTCTACTCTCCTAAAAATCAATGGAAAAATATCCTTGGGTGAGGATTAACAAAAGAAAAAAAGAAAGACTTTAAGAGAGACTTTAAAGACTTACAGGAATCAGAAACGTACCTATTACTTTTGCTAATAATTCAAAGGAGATGGGCCATCTAAGTGAAAAGTCTGGGGCATCACAATGCACAAAAGGAGTCATTTCAGTAATAAAGTATTACCTTTTCATTCACTACTAATCATAGAGCTTATATGACATTTTCCAATGAACCATGCCTGATAAATCCATAAACACCACATCCTATATAATAAAAGCCTAATATGCAAATCGACCAAATGGTGGAATGACCAGACCAGTCAGCAGGTGGCAGAGCCAGTGAGTGGGCGGTGCCAGGCCAGCCAAGGCGGGTGCCAGTGGGCAGAGGAAGGGGGCGGTGATCGGGGGGACAGGGCCAGCCGCTCGCCAGCCAGCACTGTCCCCTGATTGCGCAGCCGGTCACCTCCCACAGAGGGATGCCAGACTGTGGTTTTGGCCCGCTTTCCCTGGGGAGCGAGACTAAGCCATCAGTCAGACATCCCCCAAGGGCTCCCAGACTGAGGGCGCAGGCTGGGCTGAGGAACCCCCCCAAGTGCACGAATTTTCATACACCAGGCCTGTAGTTTATTTATAATAATCAACTTAGAAGGACAAAGTACATCCTGCTAAAAGCATTCCATAGTTAAGGACTCTCCATTTAGATACTGTTATTAGTGTCTGTCATCAGATTGACTTGCTCATCTCTTCTCTTTCCCAGCCCCCTTTTTTTTTTTTTCAATTTTCCTGACATTCCTGGTAATGGGAGAAAATAGATTAAATATTTCCTTCCCAAACCTAACTTTCCCTTAAGTTCCCTTTAAGCAAATCTTTCTCTCTACATTATTTTCTTCTATAGAAATTTTCCGTCTAACCTGTCTGCTCTGTTAGTGAGGTTTGAGTGCATAGTGGACCCAGGCAAGTTACATACTATGAAGGATTGGGAAATGTTTGAAGACAAGAAAATTCTTAGTTGTAGTTGGCATGGGTGAAGTCACAAAGCAGGTTCCACAATCCTGTCCTCCAGAGGAGAGATGATGGACTTAGTCAAAATTGTAAGCTCCAAACTAGATTATCAATCCAAATGCACAAATGTAGAAATGGGAAACCAATACATGGAGAGCAGGAATAGAGAGACTGGAAAATAAGATACACAGGTTTCAAGTCCAATTCATGGGAAGGCTAGAGAAGCCTGGGCCAACAGCAGGACGCATACACCTTTCCCTGCTACAGTCAGTGCAGGATATTGCTGGCCACTCCCTGTCACTCAGAGCCACGGGACATGTAGCTTAGCAGTCAGTATTCCTGAAGTGTCTGCAGATTCCAAGGCCACAGGAGGAGATGACCCACCACCAGAAAGGACTAGAAATGGCACTTGTTCCATCTCCCTACAAATGTGGAGCTTCTTGTTTTGTTTGTTTTTTTTTAAATACATATTTTTTAATATATTTTTATTGATTTCAGAGAAGAAGGGAGAGGGAGAGAGAGAGAAACATCAATGATGAGAATCATTGATCGGTTGCCTCCTGCACACCCCCTACTGGGGATCAAGTCTGCAACCCGGGCATGTGCCCTTGACCGGAATTGAACCCAGGACCTTTCAGTCCGCAGGCCAACGCTCTATACACTGAGCCAAGCCAGCTAGGGCTGTGGAGTTTCTTTACAACAAAGACCTTAGGGGAAAACCAGAAGAATCTAGTGGAATCACATAATTTCTCAGTATATGGTAGTAGCAGAGATCTGGGACAGGTCTTTCCCAAGCCCAGAGCCATATGCATGCACTTACCTGAGATGCCTATAGAGTGCTAATATGGGCAACCACACGGTCTGGAAACCTGGGCTAGGATAGTTATTATCCACCTGTCTTGCTGTCACAATAGTGGCATTGGTTTATGAGTCCTAAATATTCTTTTATTGTCCTTGTGATATAGCAGAAGTCCTACAGGAAGGTTAAAGGTCAAAGCAAGGCCAGTAATTCCAACACTAGATTTCTAATCCCAGGGAGTTCAGCAGAAGCAAGAGCAGGGAGCTGAAATGGTGAGGGCATGTTGAGAATTTAGAAAAGCATAATGGAAGTACTATGTAGGGTAACAGAGAACACTTTTCTTTGAGCAAGTCTTTCCTCTAGTCTGTTTCCTACATCTCACATTATCCCTCGGCTTCTAAGCTGCCCTTATATTCTTGAGGATTATCGTGCTAACACTCTTCTTCTTAAAAACTGGTGGGAGAATGTCTCTGCATGGTGAACACCACTGTTGCTTTTAAGGATCATGTTTACTAAAATAAGTGATCAGAGATAGCTTTTAATTACTTAGCTGTGCATCCACGATGGTTAATCCTCTGTACAAAATTCCTGGATAGCACAGTCTCACAGATTCTACCACCTTTTTATCTTCCACAGTGTACATATGATGCTCTTTTCCTTAAATACTGTAATTACAGTATGAGCATATGTAGCAGTGGTAGGCATAATTGTATGTTAGACAAAATGGGTTTATCTGAAATGTTAAATATTTCCTAATATTTCTGTGAAGATTCCTAAAATATTTTTTTCCAGAAATCACCAAGTACACATATGTTTTCACCCGAATTTTTACTTCGAGTCAGACGAAGTCACCTAGTTGATGATGCTCTGCGTCAATTAAACCAAGCTGAAGTCACTGAACTTCGGAAAGAATTGGTGGTATGGTAAAAAAAAAAAAGTCTCATTGGACATTTTACTAATGTGGGAGAGAAGCAGTTATTTAATGTAGCAAAGGAAGAGCCTGCATTTGCAACTATACTTATAAGCCTTAGGATTTCCAGAATTCCTTGCTTACCCTTCAGAGAAAAGCAATGGGACGTTTAATTGAACATTGGGATTATAAATTAACTAGTTACCTATGGCTATAATGAACCATCCCAAAGCTTAATGACTGAAAATAACAATACTTTATTTTATCTGCAGTTCATTTGAAGATCTCCTGATTTAGGTTGAACTTATCCGGGTGGTTTTGCAGATTCTGTATGCACCTGTTGACATGTTTGGGAGTTGGCTAGGAACAAAATCCCGACTTCTGTGCATGGGCCACTAAGTTTCAATTGCACTGTATGTGCGCACCCGCATGTGGTATTTTATGGAAGAGCCACACTCAAGGGGCCAAAGAGCCGCACATGGCTGGCGAGCTGCAGTTTGACGACCACTGGTCTAGGGCCAAGGAATCAGTTGATCAAAGTGGCAATAGATAAGATCTTCCAGGCAAAAAGAGAATTCTTAGTCAAGCTTAGTGATGCTTGTATTAAAAAGATAAAAACAAATTATCCAGGGAAGGAAGTAGAGGGAGTCCTTAGAGAGGAAAGCTGGCAGTGCACTCGGCCACAAAGTCCAAAACTGGACTTTAGAAAAGAGGGACCAGTTCATATTGATCTCCCACCCCAGGGATATGGGCAGGTAGGGCTCATGGTTCCTGGAAGGATGACAGGCGCAGGCTGCCTGGAAGGGCTGTTTATCAAAAGTCCCAATGAGAGGGGCGGGAACAAAGCAGAACCAGCCAGTTTACATTGGATTCTGCCCAAAGGCGGTGCTGGTCTTGGAAAACATGCAACAGCCGCTATCGTTAAGTGGCGAACAGAACCTGAGCATCACAGTGTGGAGATGGAAGGGTCACTTAGAAGCGCAACAGCCAGCCTCCAGGGAAGGCCTCCCGGAAGAGGTACCTTCGCTTGAGAGAGGCCAGGAGCGGCGTGTGGGATCCGATTCCCGGCGTGGGCCCAGGCCTCTTCCCAGTCCTCCTCCTCCACCTCCGCCACCACCTTGCGGGGGCGGGACATACTGTAGCGGCACCAGCCAGTCCGGCTGAGACCCGGGAGCGAGGGAGCAACGGGCGCCGCGCCACAAAGGAAAGCGAAG